GTTTTGAACAGGCGTGCAGTATGAAAAAATACCGTGGCATGAAGTCATCATCATCACTTTTTTAAAGCATAGCAAAATTTCACTTTTTTTTTCGTTTTTCCAATTTTTACCTTTCAAAATCAATCTGTAAAACAAAGGATGGGACTTTGTTAGATTCACTTGTAACTCCTGCCAAGATCATTTGTAACTCCGACAGACCTCTTTCATCCATATTATTTTGAGGCACGCCCGCTACTGACTTTTTCAGCTTAATATTTCTTGTGAACTTGCAGGAACTGCGAGTTTTTCGGCAGAGTTTACAAGTTGTATGCAATTATGACTGGGTACCTATACCACTTGCATATCCACAGGTAACCGGAAAACACTAGGAATATTGAGAAAATTTATTTATTCGTAGTTTATTCCTTTAAATATGCAGTTGAAACTCTTCCAGTCACTTTGACCAGCGTTGCATCTTCCAGTGGTCAGTTTATTGCTGGCCATCTTGGCATGTTCCTTCAGATCTCACTTCTCAAACATAAGTCGAAATATGTCTTTGCAATTTCTATGTTTCAGTTTCTTTCGACTTTTCAACACAAACTTAGCATTTTTCGTCTAATTTCACGTTTCTTTTCACGCGAATACAAACAAAGCAAGCCGTACTACGAAAACATTTGATCATTCTATCAAAGTAAAGTACGAGCGAAAAGTCATCCCTCATACGTAATCTCTTCACTTAGCCTATGTATTTATACCCTGAAGACCTGCACTATTTGCATCAGAAACACTGAACTGCTTACATAAAAAACACAGAATCTTTGCTGCAACTTTATTGCAGGTTGTTAGTTTAGCTGTATATGCATATTTTGTTGCATGTCTGATATCCAGGCAATATATTGACCACAAAAGTGACGGCAGTTTTGTAAGCTTTTCTCTTGCTTTTTTAATGCTTTTTTTGCGTATTATGCATATGCAAGAACGCATATTGTTGACTTCGCAAATGGTCTTTACGTCCTTCTCCCATCATGGTTTAGTAAATGACACCACTCAAATCGATGTGGTAAAACTCAACACGCAATTGGGACATTTTGAAGCACCCAGAGCCTTTCCATGCTGTTCCACCGGGAAAACCGCTGCGCTGGAACCCCTTCAGGAGTAATCTCCGGAATCCACATGTGGAACGCGCGGGGTGGAAGGGAGGCAAAAATCAGCTGCTTCCTGAAACAAGCTGTAAATTTTCAGATAGATTTACATGTTCCCGTGATGACAATAATTCAATTTATCTTTTTTGTTGGATGGCTTAAAGCTGCAGAAGTGTTGCTGAATCCGATGGGTGAGGATGACGACGATTTCGAATGCAATTATCTAATCGACAAAAATCTTGCGGTACGATGCATACATGACTAAGATAGTTTGCTCTTTAGAATCTACAAGTCGAAACAGCTACAACTTCCTTCACTAAACGTCGACAGTTAATGAGTAGTACACGCAGGAAAGCACTGGATCTTATAGGGGGAAATGCCGAAGAGGAAAAAAAGGGTGGGGGAAAGGGAAAAGAGAGGGGAGGGTAAAACAGCAGTCCTGCCTTACTCGATACTTTTGTTCCTGCTTCACCAGCTGTTTGTTTTGCCTATTCCATCGCCCTCATTCGAAAACTATGAATATCCTGATAATTACTATGCTAGCAGCAATGCCCTCACCATTAAACGGAAGAATATTCTAAATTTTAGTATTACAGACAGCACTGAGCATAGTGGATGAATCGAAGAAGCACACGCCATCAATTAAGCCGGATCAGTTCCTGTCACGCGGCCACGTGGATGCCATGTATTCACGGTGCTCTATCGACGATGCAGTTCGCCCACTAGTTGGTTCAGCTGTGCATGCGAAGTTTGCATTCTTATATTTTTTGTTTACTTTACTTGCAAATATCAATTAAATATTAGAACCGTCGATGTAGGGTATTCCATGTTGCTGCTGTTGCTGGTATGCTCCCAAACGCGAGGAATAGTTATGCCGAACTCAGTGATTCTGGGTTGCATATAACTAGTAAGGCGCCGATAATATGTTCAGTATATGTGCACCATCTTGTCGGGGACAAGCCGAGTGATTATTTACTTTTTCGTAGACACTGTTCTGTCAGAATAATATTGAAATTCAAGTTGCCTTGAAAGAAAGCGAAGAGAAAATAAGCCAATATGTGAAGTCGCGCAAATACGACGAGTTCGAAACCGTGTAGAATAGAGAAGTTACCACTTAAATCAAGATACCTTAAAAACTTTTCAAGTTTTTGCTAGCACTTCTGTCTTTTATATCGCACCAGTTTAGAGTGGTGATTCGATCTTCGTCGGAGACTGCTGTCGAGGAGGGCT